TTTTTTACTTGCAATGTTTCACAAATATTGGCAGGACAGGCAGAGAAAATTGGCTGAAGAGCAATTAAACCTAGTGCAACAACAAGCGCAAGCAAAAGCGCAGATGATGCGGTACGAGGATGAATTGGCCAGGAAAAGGATGCAGGTTCGATATTCTTTATTTATGTTACTCAAGTTTTGGGCTCAGAACCTTAAAGATTGGAACTTTTTATGAAATTGAACCATTTCTTTTACATGCGAAACATGACTTGGTTGCTGTGGCTATGGGTTTCAGAGCAATTTTAAAAACAACTAGCTTTGCTTGTTTAAGTTTGTTTTATAATGTTGAATCATGGTAAGGAATTGAAATTTTGACGGTTTCTAGCCTTCTCTCTTCCTGATTCCTTCGGGCTGGGATTATTCTCTTCCTTGATGAAATCGTCCAATAAACTGTGTGATGGCCATGTTGTGGATTCTTTGCAGACAGATCATGAAACCCAGAGGAAACATAATGTAGAGTTGGTCAGGATGCAAGAAGAGTCTAGCATAAGAAAAGAACGAGCAAGACAGGCAACTGAGGAGCAGATCCAGGCTCAGCAGCGCCAGACTGAAAAAGAAAGAGCTGAAATAGAACGAGAAACCATAAGAGTTAAGGCCATGGCTGAGGCTGAAGGCCGAGCCCATGAGGCGAAATTGACGGAGGACCATAATAGGAGAATGCTTGTCGAAAAGATAAATGGTGAACGTGAAAAATGGCTTGCTGCAATCAATACAGCCTTCAGTCACATAGAAGGTGAAGAAATTCCATAATGTGATTCCCCAATGCTTGTATACGGAATTATTATCTGCATATTTAGCAGTTTTCTGATGTCATTTTGCGAAATTGCTTTCACAGGTGGTTTCAGGACATTGTTGGATGATAGAAATAAGTTGATAATGACAGTTGGAGGAGCTACTGCATTGGCTGCAGGAATTTATACAACCAGGTTTGTATAGTAACTGGTGTAGTGATAAGGGAATCTGTTTCCTAGAGCTATGATACAAGCTTCTGATAATTTTGAGGTGGTTAGTGATGAGACAATGTAACATGAAGCAATGATGCTTGATTTTTCCTGTGTACAGAGAAGGAGCTCGGGTAACATGGGGTTACATTAACAGAATTCTTGGGCAGCCATCTTTGATTCGTGAATCATCCATGTCTCGATTTCCATTGTCAAAGTTAGCCACCGACGCAAAGAACAAAATCAGCAGATTTGGTACTGCACCAGGGTCATCTGCACCATTGGAAGGTAGAAGTGGGTTCAAGGATATAATCCTTCACCCTTCATTGCAAAAGAGGATCGAGCAACTCTCTAGGGCTACTGCTAACACCAAAAGTCATCAGGCACCGTTCCGCAATATGATGTTTTATGGGCCTCCGGGCACTGGTAAAACAATGGTTGCCAGGGATATAGCTCGGAAATCGGTATTATGCTTACTCGTTATCTGTATTGGTTCCTTTTTCATTGGCTAATCTCTGTTGGTGACTTCACTGAAGTCTCCTGTTCCTAATATTGGCCATGTAGGGTTTGGACTATGCGATGATGACTGGAGGAGATGTAGCACCCCTTGGAGCAGAAGCTGTGACCAAAATCCATCAGTTGTTCGACTGGGCTAAGAAGTCGCAGAAAGGACTTCTACTTTTTATTGATGAGGCTGATGCTTTCCTCAGCGAGTAAGTTCGGTACTTCTCTAGGATTGGAATTTTGAATTCAGTTTGGTCAATGAAAAGTGCATTTCAATCACGCTTATGCAGTGCTGCCTCATTCTAAAAGCTACGATGGTTGTGTCGCCTTTGGAAAATGGTTGACCTAAATGCTAAAAGACCTTCAAAATTTTCAGTCTAATGTTTTAAAACAACTGTCCATAAATCCCTGAAATTTTTAAAATTCAAAATTCATTTTCCATGCTGTTTGCGCTCGTATCGTTAGTAACCTTCCTTTTCTCCATTGGAATTATATATCTCTCAGGCGTAACAGCACCCATATGAGTGAAGCTCAGCGGAGTGCCCTAAACGCATTGCTATTCCGAACCGGGGATCAGTCAAGAGACATAGTTCTCGTTCTGGCGACAAACAGGCCAGGCGATCTCGATAGTGCGGTTGCTGATCGTATCGATGAAGTGATTGAATTCCCTCTTCCTGGGGAGGATGAACGGTTTAAATTGCTCAACCTTTACTTGAAGAAGTACCTATCAAATGAGGGGGGAAATGAAGAACCCAAATGGAGTGGTTTCTTCAAGAAGAAACCACAACAGATAACAGTAAAGGACGTGACTGAGGAAGTGTTGAGAGAGGCGGCAAAGAAGACGGAAGGCTTCTCTGGGCGTGAGATAGCGAAGCTAATGGCGAGCGTTCAAGCGGCGGTGTATGGTAGACCTGACTGTCTGTTGGATTCTGAGCTGTTGAGGGAGGTTGTGGATTATAAGGTTAAAGAGCATCACCAGAGAATCAAGCTAGCATCTGAAGGTGGTCAGCCTCAGCCATCCTAAGCGCCGGCGGAGAATTTTTAATCTTTCGGAGACTTAGATGATCTGCAGGGATTCGTTCTACTATGGTCTAGGACCATGGTCGTGAGAGAGGGCAAGGTTTTTGCTGAAACTATGTATTTTATTATCACTCCCTTATTTTCTTGGTTTTACTCGCCCAATGACAATGTTAGAAATTGCTTTAGATATGATTATATGAAAGACCTCCCTCCAAGGCCCAAAACTTAAATACGGCTTTCCACGGAATTTATAAGTATCTATGAGATGGGGTTTGGGATAGGGTCAGTAACCAGTACCTATCAGTAAACACTTGGGAGCCGTAGATCTAGGGGATGGAGGAATCGTGTGGTTGGCTGGACGCAGGGGTAGGGAAGGGCATTTTTGTCTGCTTTTGTATTTTTAAATTTTTTTTTATTTATTCCGCATTTCAATGAAAGAAAAAGAATAACCCTTTCTCTGCAACTCTACTTTATTCCTTCTCTCTTCCTTCTCTCTTTCTTTTTCCAATATTTTTCCAGATCCTTTCTCTTTCACTTTTCCTTCTCTCTTACTTTTTCTCTCACAATCTCCATTTCTCTGCAACTCTACTTTATTCATTCTCTCTTCCTTTTTCCAATATTTTTCCAGATCCTTTCTCTTTCTCTATTCCATCTTCATTTTTTTCTCTAGCAATCGACAAATAAAAATTGAAGTGACCCTCTTTAATTGCGTTTCTTCTCTTCATCAACTCGTTAGCTTTAATTTCAATTTTTCTCCTTTTTTGGCGTTTGGTGTTCTTTGGTTGCGGATGAAATGAGATGAGACAGAAGACAAGTTTTTTTTTCTCTCTCTTTTTGTTTTCCCCCCTTTCTTTTAGGTAATATATATTGATATTATCACACTATACCATAAGGTATTATGTGGTAACGAAATATATATTGGTATTATCATTCTATATCATATGGTATTACCACTCTATACCATATGGTATTGGGTGGTAACGAAATATATATTGATATTAACACACTATACCATATGGTATTGGGTGGTAACGAAAAATATATTGGTATTACCACTCTATACCATATGGTATTACCACTCTATACCATATGGTATTGGGTGGTAACGAAATATATATTGATATTACCACACTATACCATATGGTATTGGGTGGTAACGAAATATATTTTGGTATTACCACTCTATACCATATGGTATTGGATGATAACGAAATATATATTGATATTACCACACTATACCATATGGTATTGGGTGGTAACGAAATATATTTTGGTATTACCACTCTATACCATATGGTATTGGGTGGTAACGAAATATATATTGATATTACCACACTATACCATATGGTATTGGGTGGTAACGAAATATATATTGATATTACCACACTATACCATATGGTAGTAACGAAATATATATTCATGTGGCAAAAATTTCCATACCATATGGTATGCTCTTATTTAATACCAATCAATACCATATGGTACAGTCAAATACCATATGGTATAACTGGTAATAACTGACAAATTTTTTTGTGTCCAAAAAATATCAAAGTGGATATCATTTTAAAGAGCACAATTAATCTGATCTAACTGTGCAAAAAAAATTAAATTTCGACTTAAAACGAGTGAGAAATCGTCCGTTAAAGATTAAGGGAAGGAAAATTAAATGTTTTGCAAGGAGAGAGAAGGAGGCGCTGATGTGGTACGCTCAAAAGTCAGCCTCAGCAATAAATAGGAGAAAGTGCAATTTTACTGTACTGTCCTTTTCACATTTAATTTAAATAAAAAAGTGACTGACACGTGGGGACCATGGAAGGGGTTACTGATGGGTTACTCACCCATCAGTTACTGACCTGATCTGGACCCATGAGATGGAGCATGAAATGTAATTGAGATGGATAAATGCCACATTGTCACTGAGATTATTAAATCGTGTCATGTTTAGTTACTAGAAAACTATAATATTAATTTTGGTCACTCGGATTACTGAAACTGGGGGTAATTAACATAAAAGGTCACAAACCTATACACTTTGTACAAAACGGTCACAAACCTTTCATTTTGCACGTTTCAATAACATATGTTTAGACTAATAACAAAACGGTAATTCCGTCCATCTCCATCCAAAATATCGTTAGTTATGTCCAGTCAACACGCCACATCACCTAAGATATTAATAAAAAAAATTAATGACCAACCAAACCAATTGAACCGAAAACCCTAATTCTATACAACCCACCCGAAATCTTGGAGACAGAAACACTGCGGCTGTACAGAGCGATTCAGCTACTAGAATCGCCGCCAGTCCATAGAAATTCCCCACCGCCAAACGCACCGATCACCTCCCTTGCTTGCATCACCGGACTAAACGAAACACCCGCCATCGTTCGCCTCCTCTTCGCCTGGCATGCTCGCCCGACGAGAGGTTCGCATATATTGTGTAGGCTGTAGAATGCATCCTCTATCCAACCCATGAGAGCTTCCTTGCCGACCCACATGAAATCGAGTTCGCAATCTCTATCTGACAATCAACAACTCCCATGGCAGCAGTCTACTGTCTTTCGACCAGATAATAAAGCTTCTCGATGGAAGAAAATCGTCATGTTCCTCGACTACGATGGCACCCTCTCCCCATTTTCAAAAGACCTCGATCGTGCTTTCATATCCAAAAAGGTCCGCCATTTCAACTCCCGGGAAGAACAAAATTGGAAAGATTAAAAACTTTGCTCCGTTTTTTCTTTCCTTTCTTTCTTTAGATGAGGACGTATGTTAAAAGGCTGGCTAGGTGTTTCCCATCTCCATAATGAGAGGAATATGCACGGACAAGGTACATTAATGTCGTGCATCTGATGTAGTGGATGGCTGAGATTTCTAGCTATGCAAACCTCTCCTCGGCCGAGCAGGCCAGGCGAAGTGGAGACGGAAGGGGAAGGCAATCGGTGGCGGGCGTTTGCTTCAGGCCGGCAATGCGATCATGAGAGTCAAATCGACGACGGGGATTTTTTATGGGCTGGCGGAGATTCTAGTAGCTGAATCGCTATGTACAGCCGAAGAGGAAAGCGGCAGTGTTTCTGCCTTCAAGATTTCGGGTGGGTTGTATAGAATTAGGGTATTCGGTTCAATTGGTTTGGTTATTAATTTTTTATTAATATCTTAAGTGACGTGGCGTGTTGACTGGACATAACTAACGGTTTTTTTGGATGGAGATGGACGGAATTACTGTTTTGTTATTAGTCTAAACATATGTTATTGAAACGTGCAAAATAAAAGGTTTGTGACCGTTTTGTACAAAGTGTATAGGTTTATGACCTTTTATGACCTTTTGTACAAACTAGTCACATTTAGTCACTCTCCCGTTAGAGTGACTAAATGTGACATGTTTTAGTAATTCGAGTGACTAAATGTGACATGTTTCAATAATTCGAGTGACCGGAGCTGGACAGAGGCTACAGGATAGTGACCAAAAATGACCAGTTTCAGTAATTCGAGTGATCAAAATTGATATTTAATTTTTCTAGTGACTAAACATAACACGATTTAGTAATCTCAGTGACCAAATGTGGCATTTACCCTAAGCATATGTATCCCTTCATTTCCAGTTAGATCATCTCCAATAAGATCCCAAAGAGTGTTTAGAATTCCAAAAGTGCTAAAACCCCACTATAGTTCTAAAATGCTAAAAGTTCTAAGTTTGGGAGCCAGATTTGACACGTAAAAAAATAAAAGGGGCTAAACCAACTTCGGACGGGAGATGCGCCAGAGGGGAGCGTGCACCGCACGCCCTGGGAAGGACTCAATCCTATTGCACGCTCTCTTCCGTGTCTCCCCTTTTGCATATGTTCGTCAGTTCTTGCAAGGGACCGAATAGGGTGCTAACACCTATTAGTGTTAGCACTCTATTAACAATAGTAGTAAGGGTATTATAGTAATCCCGTCTAAAACAAAAAAATCTCGGGCATCTCTTCTTTTGCTGGCGGGTTCTTTCCTGCAACTGCCCACGCCTCCTGCGGCGACCGGGTTGACAATTTACTTAGCCGGAGGACAGGGACAAGCCGTCGGCAGGAGCGTGGTGCCTGGTGGGACGCTGGCTGCGTTGGGACCTGTGTTGATCGTGGTGGCATGAATCCGATCTTGTTGAGATCCTCCGTTGCCACCTGATTTGATTGAGCATCCATCAGCGGCTTGTGCAAAATAGGAATGGAGACCGATTTGTGCAGTGCTCCGGATGATGCTTCTGGCGAAATGAATTACTAAACAAGTAAAACGAACCTTTGGTCACATTACGCCAATGGTCGCTAATGGGCAAGGCCCAACCGTCTTCACGGCCCAGAATGTGTGTTACATGTGTCAAGCCTAACGTGACCCAAGCTAGCTTCTCTTTTGCTTGCTCTAATTGTATTACCCTAGTAGAAAGTAGCAAAGGGTATAAAACCTTGTATATAGTTGACGGCCACAACTAAGCAATAATAAGATATCAGTTGGAGAGCAAAGCTCTCCCGTGGACTAGTCCCGACACTTGGGGAAACCACGTAAAAAATCATGTTCTTCTGTGTTCTTCGTTTTTCTCATGGTATCATCAAGCCCGAGTAAGAATCCGAGCAACCGCAAGCTCTCGTTTTGATCACGACTGCAGCGACCACAAGAGCAAATCGGCGGAGGCAATATAGTTTGTGTCTCCTCACAAATTCTGCGTAATTTGGTATAGAAACTAGAGACATATTGTTTCTCTTGCTGAACAAGATTGACATGATGACGCAACTCATAAGCTCGTGCCCGATTGGCCTTGCTAAAACGATCGCGAAGGTCCTCCCAAATCTCTTGTGCAGTCTGGGCGTGCATCAGGCTGCTGCGGAGTTCAGCATCCATAAGTCGGGCTAATCTTCCCTCTTAGCCTACTTTATGCTACCGCGCTAGGTAAGGAGTTCTAGAGTTAGACGGGTATGCGCCAGTTGGTGAGTTTAGGTTAGATGTGTGAATGGGGGCCTATAATGGTCGAGGCGTCCGAACCCCTGCTAAACGTAGTCTTCCTAGATGGAACCCGAGATGAAACCTCGGTGTGAACGTTGGATAGTGTCCATTGAAATGAGCTATAAGGTTAAATCCCCAAAACGATAGCCTAGATCGAGGTGACTGAAACATGGGTTTAGGGGAGGCGTACTCGGAGGCTTGTGGATAACGACGAAGACCCACGGAAAAGAGCTTACTCACCACATTCGATAACCCTAAGTATCTATACATTCATAGTATCCCTAAACTAGGGGGAGGATTAGATCCCCGAAATACATGCTTTTAGCTTTGATCAACCTCTAAACTAGTGTTTCCTCATATCCTCCACTCAAAATCTCAAAAACCGATTACCTAATTAACAACAAGGTGGGAAGTAGGCTACGGTACCAGGACCCGAGTAGAATACGACATTGATTACCACTATACAACAATGTCGTTCTAGGTTGAACTTGGCTTAGGATGGGAGAGTTGTTGATACGTGCAAACCACTGACAATAACATGCATGGATTCAAGTGATGACCTTAACTTTGTAATGTTTTATACCTTGGTCGACATTTTGGCTAAGATCGGAACTTTCTATTTTTCTTTTGTTATTTTTAAGGTTTTGGTAAAACGAGTTTCTAGATGTCGTCAAGAAATTACTTCTGTTATGAGTTTCCATTCTTACCAGGTCCACGACGCGAGCCCAAAAAAAGCCCTGACTGCAATCGGTGCAGGTCCGACTCTATGATGTTTTCCTCATCCTCTATCCCGCAAATGCCAACCATATAGATATATATTTTATGAAAACCTTAAATTTATTACTAGTTTTGCATCTCCTTAGCCAAAACGTCTAGGAGGAAAATAGGTGGTATGGTTTCCCTAATTTCCTGGGTCTCTCAATTACAAGGAGTATGGGCCATGATATGGGCCGAGTTATTCCCAGCTCTTTTAATAAAGCTCCAACTAATTGTACCCAATCTCTGGGCCTCGGCCTGCAGGTCGCGGATAACCAGCCCAACCTCCATTCTCGTGTGGTTTGTCTTCTGAAGAGCGTTGGCCACTCCCTGGCAGTCCATTTCCACTATCGCCTGATTATGGCCACTCATTTCTAGCTGCCGCAACCCGAACTCCGCAGCCTTCATTTCTGCGATTTCCGGCGGCCAGCAATTCCTTCCCCGTCAAACCGCAGCTCGCAGGAAGACACCATTCCCGTCTCGCATGATCATCCCAAGACCCGTTCCTTCTCCCTTCATCACCGCAGCATCAACATTCACCTTCACCCATCCCATTGGTGGTCGTTTCCATGTACTTACTTCCGCCTCTCACATCTGCTTCTCTTGTCTATGGTAGGATGTGTATTCTTCCCATTAGTCTAGGGCCTTCCCCACAATTTCCCATTCCTCCTCCTTCTTCCGATTGAAGAGTTGATTGTTTCGCTCATTCCAAATCATCCAAAGGAAAATCACGAATTGCTCCAACGTTTCATCATCCACCCGATCCATTACCTCACACATCCAGCTGCACGATGACACATCTGGTTCTAATTCAAAGAGGGGACGGAACACTGATTGTCTCCACACCCTAATTGCCCACTGGCACTCTCGGAAAGCATGATTTTGTGTTTCTTCTAGGTGACAAAAGGGGCACTCGGTCGCTGCTTCCTTTTTCCTGACTTCAATGGTATTTCCCGTTGGTAGGATGTTGTGGACTAGCTTCCAGGTGAAGATTTTAATCTTCGCTGGTACTTTGATTTGCCAAAGCCTTTTCCAATTCATCGGGTCATAAACTTCCACCTCACATGGTATCTCCTCCTCCCAATCATTGTCCTCTTCAATCTCAATCACCTGGTTGGTTTCTGCCCTCTTCTGAGCTAGTCTGTATGTTGTCTTAACCAAATATAGCCCTGCTCCTTCATGGCTCCATACTCGATCGTCCCCAATTGGCTAACTAGGGATTGAATTCCCAAAATCCACTCTCGGTCAATGGGTTAAAGTAACGTTGAAGGTAGTTATATATCCATGTTTTGCTCTCATGGTCAATGAGATCCGCCACCACCCTGACCTCCTCCGTATCCTCCTCTGGCGTGACTCCCTTGAAATCATCCTCTTCTGCCCCTGGGATCCATTTCTCCCCCCAGACCTTTACACTAGTACCATTATCAATCCTCCATCTTAAGCCCTTTTTAACCAGCTCTTGTGCGGCAAGAATGCTCCTCCATGTATAGCTTGGGTTATTACCTAGCCTCTCTTGTAGAATGTCAGTGTTTGGGTAGTACCTGCCTTTTAGTATTCTCGCTACCAGGGATTTTGGATTAGTGAGTAGGTTCCATATTTGTTTCCCTAGCAGAGCGATATTGAAAGTTCGCAGGTCACGGAAGCCCATTCTACCTTCCTCCTTAGGTCTGCAGACCTTCTTCCACGCTTTCCATGGGATTCTGCGCTCTTCTTTCTGTTGTCCCCACCAGAAGCTCGAGATGTCCAACCATATTTAATTGTTATAAGAATGGAGTGAAATCAACGTTGAGCTAGCAAAATCACCAAATTCGTTCAAATAGCGGTTTTATTTGCTTGTACGCAAGGACATAGCCAGTATTTTAAGTTAGGGGGGCGGAAAAAATTTCGATGACATCATTTAGAAAAATTTGTCCGTAAATTCTTGAAAAACACAAAAAAAAAAAACTAGTTTACGAAATTTTGTTTAAGGATTTATTTCAATGAATATTCCAACTATAAAAAATAGTGTATATTTTTTTAATATCTAAATGCAAGTCACCAATATATTTATAGATTAGAGTATTCAGTTTCTTGTAACGAAAATGTAGTTAATTTAATCAAAGAAAATGTAATGAAGAATTAAATTTCTAACAGAGTAATGATACTTTTGATGTATCAATAAAAATTAAGCTTATAAATATGTCAAACAAAAAATTAACCAAACTAAAAAACAAGGTTAGTTACTAATAAGCCATGTATTAAAAAAAATCTTCGTGAGTTGAACTTTTAACCTCCCACCATAAAAAAACTAAAGTAGCACATTAACAAGTCAGTTTATACTGCAAAGCATAACAGCTTGCAATTTACAGAATTTATAAGAAGACTATATATGAAAAATGCATTAAAAAATCTACCCTGTAGTGTTCGACTTTCAAAAATCTAGGTTGTAATGAGGTCGAACTTCTGACCCTCCTCTAACTACTGATGTTAAGTTAGTATTCTGACCACTTGGACTATATTCCTAAGTTTGGCAAAATGCAACCTACAAACTTTTTAAAACCTAGTGGGCTCATGGCCCCTTGCCAACAAGGAGTCTCCGTCCCTGCTTGTACGATAATGAATTAAATGATCTTTACACGTTTTAAATGAAACCAAATGAATTTCAATTCGACTCATACCTAGATTAAACTACTTTAATTACAAAAAGATTAAGAAAAAATCCTTTAACTTAATCTTGGTAGGATTACCCAACCTGAATTACTAATTTAATTATGCTTCATTTTCTTCAATCTCCCACCTCCTTGTCAGCTATACGTGATCTCAGATTGCCACCTTAAATACAAACTTTACTTAATGAAAAGGTTATGATTTTTTAGATAGTTTAAATGTTTTGTTAGCGTTTTTGTTGATCGATGATATGAATTTAAAATTGCATATGGTAGTGATAAATTCATTCCTAAACTAGTGCATTATATATGTATTTTATGTTATCTATCAACGGTTAACCAATGTTCTATAGTGATTAACCAATACTTAACCGTAACCCAATAAGTTTTTAGATTTAGCATATTACATCCGGCTTTGAAAACACATATATTTATATATCCAAAAGATTCTAAAATTACAAGAGATTGAATAAAAAAAATACAATTTCAAGATATTTTTTACTTAAATGGTAGTTTAATTGTGATATCGATAAAATCACATCAATTCTAGTTTTGAAACAATCATCGATGCAATTATGCAACCACAAACGAATGGCGATATTCTATAAAACTAACGAAAGTAAATATCGGGAGGAAAAGAATAGGTTTGACCGTGGAAACTAAAGATTACACGTGACCAAAAATTTAGTAGAAAACTTAAGCCACGCGTCAACTTGGAAACCGGCTCTCCTAGTTCGGTAGTTCCCAAATCGAGAACCACGCGTCGAGAACCAAACCACCCGGTAACCACTCTCATCCCCTCCGGAACCGCCACGTCCACCCAACGGGACGGGAGCTAGCGACACGTGTCTCCTCGCGGGAATGGACGAGCGTGATTATCTCTTTACCGTTTGAATCAAAAACTGATCTATACTATAAATGAAAAGAATGAGACCAATCTCAAAATCAGTCGCTCCCATCCATTATTATTCGTACGTACTGCAAAAATAAACAACGATACACGTACGGCGTGATTTGCAAAGAAAAGAGGAGGAGAACGTGAGTACAATACATAGTTTTTGAGTGTGAGAGATGGCGATGATGAGTGAGAGGAGGGCGGTGATGGCGACGGCCGTTCTGCTGATGGCGCTGACGACGGCAGTGGAGGTGTGCAGAGCGTGGGATTTCAGCGCCAGCCAGATATGGGACAAAACCAAGGAGAAGACCGGCGACGCCGTGGAAGGCGCTCAGGAACGCGGCAGGTCCTTCACCGACTGGGCTAACAATAAGCTGTCCGCGTACGTGTATTTATATATATTATATTAGATTAGATTAAACCATCTAATTTCCACGTATTCTCTTTTCCCTAACTTGATGGTGACGGCAGGGACAAGAAAGTTGGAGAAGCAGCCGGCGAGAAGGGCAAAGATGATTACTCGGATTTGTTCGCGCATAATATCCAGGGTTCTCAGGAGAGGGTACAGATGGCAGACACCGAAACCTTGTTCAAATTCAAAGACACCAAAAATGTGGTGGGAAATGCCAAGGAAAAAGCCCAATACGCCCAAGAAAAGGTTTCGGAGGCAGCGGGTACTGCCAAGGAAAAGGTATCCCAGGCCGCCGGTGACAAGGCCCAAGACGCCAAAGAAAAGCTCGGTAACGTCAAGGATAAGGCCCAAGACGCAAAGGAAAAGGTAGCCCAAACCGCCGGTGACAAGGCCCAAGTCGCGAAGGAAGTGCTCGACAATGCTAAGGACAAAGCCTACAACGCGAAGGAAAAGGCATCCGAGGTCGCTGGTGACAAGGCCCAACTCGCAAAGGAAAAGGCATCCGATGTCGCTGGTGATAAGGCCCAAGATGCGAAGGAAACCCTTGCTAATGCCAAGGACAAGGCCCAAGAAGCAAAGGAAAAAGTATCTCAGGCTGCTGGTGACAAAGCTGAAGATGCTAAGGAGGCGTATGGGAAAGCCAAAGAGAAGGTGTCCCAGGCCGCCGGTGATGCGGGCGATAAGATGAAGAATAAGGGCACGACTGATGAGCTTTAATTTCTTTTTAACTAGTTTGTAACTTATTATGGTAAGGCCAAAAAAAAAAAAAATTTACTAGCTAGTTATATATATCGTCGACGGACCTCTAATCCTTTTCTCTCCATCATGTATACGTATATGTGCGCAGGTGGCGCCTTGTTCTGACCTGTATTGCGTCTCAAGTACTGTCGTAACTTGACATGTGTTCCATAAATTTGAATTTGGTATTAGAAATTTGCTTTTCTACAACAATTAGTAGAATATTGTTATCTGCCTAATAAGAAATGTTGTTATCTAACTGGTAAGTGAATAATCTCGCCGATATGAAACAAAACAGATTAAAGGATCGGGGTGAGTAATGATAACCCCACGCATGGCATAGCAATTAATGGTGGGAATGGGATAGCCCGTAGCCGTAAAGTGGGGGAGAAGAATCAAACGTAACCCACGCCTATCCCTATCTGACCCACGTTCGTGACCCGCGACATTAGGGTTCCGATATAATTATTTCACTGTTCCCTTGATGTTGCCTGTATCTCCCACATTCAAAGAAACAGTACAACGGTAACCACTAACCCAAAGGCTAAAAATGCTATTAGATTTACCGTCGTCGTATGAACTTCAAATAGTTAGTTTACCGACAACGGTAACAAAATCACATATCCAGCATTCCGTCACCGGCCCGAAAAAATAACACCACTTGCACTATACAAAATTAACCTAACTTTGCCTCCGCTGCTGCTTGTTGTTGTGCATCCACACCTTGAACACTTTCCTCTCCACCCCAATCTCGGAGCAAAACTGCTGCACTCCCGGCTCGTCCTGCCTCTGAATCCTCCACCCGATCCTCTCCGCGAATTCCGCCATCCTCTCCTTCTGCTCCTGCGTGAACCTCGTCCTGAACCTCTTCCTCGAATACGACGCCGTAGCCGACTGCTGCACCCCTTCGTTGCTCGGCCCCAACGCATCCACGTCATCGCTCGACGACCCGTCGCCGAAGCTCACCATCACGGCCGGCGGGTTGTGATTGTGAGTCGCTGGAGGGAGCGGAGGAGGAGGAGGCAGAGGGAAGTCCCTGCTGCTGGTGCTCCCTCTGTAGCGCGGCAGCGGCGGATGAGGGAGTGCTAGCGGCGGAGGAGGAGGGAGTGGAGCTGCTGGGTGATTCCCGTCGATCTCCTGGCGGTGGAAGCTGCGGTGGCAGTCGCAGGCGGCGCATCGGAAGGCGGCCGGAGTTCCTTCTTCGCCGGCGGGCATGAACTCGCCGCATCCGTCGACCACGTGCCTGCCGGAGGAGGCGGCGTGGTTCCGCATACATTCCCTGTATCTCACAGCTGGCATTGGAGCAGCGGGTGGGGATCCGGATCTGGAGTATTGCTCCTCCTCCTCGTTGTAATTGGGTGCGGCTGATGGTTCCGGATCGGACCGGGTCGGGCCGGCCGTTGGATCTCTTCTTGATCTTGGGGGAGCTGCTTCCGCAGTGTGGGCGGGTGGGTCTCCGATTCCCTCGCCCCTCTCTCTCATGGTTTTGAACAAAATGAGGGAGGGAGAGAGAGAGAGAAGCGGGTCAGGACCCGGATCTGCAACGGTTGTCTGGATCTGGGTTGCAGCTCTTGATTAGGGATGAGGCTAGGAACTAATGAACCCTAATTAACATGGATGATGAAGGAATTGGCAAGATAGGGAGATTAGGGCAGAAAGAGGGGAGGGAGAGAGGGAGGGAAGTGATTAATTAATTAATTGTCTTGTTAAGTACTTGATTTGAATGTTGACGTAAAAGAAAGAACCCACCAAATCCCGCCTATTATTTGTTAATTCCCCCCACTAATTTATAATGTGTATGAAGAGCAAGTGTGGTTTGGACATATGTGAGACTGATTAGACTCTCTAATCATGCGGGGAGGCGATGCTGTTGGGTTCTGCAGCGGCCAAATTTAAAGAGGCTGCTGGACCGGAGGAAAAAGACAAAAAAAGATGAAGGGAGGTAACATTACAGTAGTGCCGTGAAGTGAGAACTGCTACCGGTGTCGGTAAGAAAGATTGAGATTAGTTGTTAATTACCTTCCTTTTCTTGTGAATGGATGGATGGATGAGATCTCAAGTAGCAGAAAGGCCGATGGAGACAATAATTACTGGAAGTAAGCACAGGGAAATGAGGTAAGTGGTACATTTGATTTGGGTCTAGGCATGCTGCTGCAGAAGAAGAAAGAGGATGCAAAGGAAGAATGCAGGAGGAGCAGAGTTTGTGTTGTTTGTTACCTGTTGATGTAACTTTTTTACTTTGTTATAGGGAGGAAAGGGAACAGGAGCGACAGACGGTGGTGGAATAAGAAACAGGAGTACTCTGACGACGACGATGATGATTTATAGATGAACAAAATTGTGTGGAAGGGAAGAGGCAAGAGAGAGAGACGAGTGGCGGCCCCGCTCTCTCCGGCCCGGCCATTTGGTGCACACTCAGAGGCAGCATGGGGCCCTGCCGGAGCCGGACGTTTGTCAGAGTTTTGGCGTTTTCTCTTATGACAATGGTGGCAGTGTGGAGTGGAGGAATACAACTATTGCACAAAGGTAAAGAAATCGGATGTCCAAGTTATCAGAAAAAAATGGGTTAATTGCATGATTGGTCACTGAGATTACAAAAAACGTTTAAGTTTGGTCACTCGAAATATTTAAATTCATTGGTGGTACTTCAGTTTATCGATACTATTTACGTTTGGTCACTCTCCGGCCAACTCCGTTTACTTTGGATGATGTGGCAGTCAACTCTCAAAGTTGACCGTTAATTTAGTGACGTGGCAACTAAAAATTATTAAAAATAAAAAATAAACTTTTATATTTTTCACCTCATTATTACATTCATTAAAAAATAAAATAAAATCTAATTTTTTTTCTACAAACCCATACCCTACCCACGTTCAAACGGACTCCCGCCTCTCGTCGGACTCCTCATCGCGAAGCTCCCGACTACCAGCGTTCATTGGAGCAGGCTTCGGCGGTGGCAAATCAACCTCTTCTCTACGCAAAGACATAGCATCAACGCTCGATTGACGATTTCTCCCGCGAATGGTTGTTGGTGAATTGAGTCCAGCAACCTCTTCTCCTCCGTCATAAAACACCCCTCATTCTTGGTTCCGATTAACCAATTGAAGGCCTAGCTGATGACGGATTGAATGAAGTCACCGCAATGGAACACTGAAGAAGAAGAAGAAGAAGAAGAAGAAGAAGTCGACGCCGCTGCTCCCAAACTGATAAACCCAAAACTCCACCAGTCCTTCACCCATACGAGAGAGACTTTGCGATTTGGGATGGACATATGGATTGGGAAGATCAACGACAGTCGACAGCTGGAATGCATGTGTTAGATCACTACCACATTGCAAATGCACCTGAGATGGATTTGTTTGTTGTCCACCAAATGAGGAGACTCTTACTACATCCTTTCCCTCGTATTCTTCAATGAATGGCTTATACATTGAACGGAACAAATTGAATTGCCCTTGCTGTTGCACTATTTACTTCACCTGAGATGAGAATGTCTGCAATAGTGTATAATCATCACCATGACATTCTCACATTCAGAAAGACTGGAACGAGGAGTTTTATTCGTCTATGACATAGCAATTTTTTTTTTCTTTTCTCTCGGCAGAATCCGCTGGAGGTACTGACGGAGGAGAAGAGGTTGCTGTACTCAATTCACCAACCCTGGAGAAATTGTAAATCGAGCGTTGATGTTGTGTCTTTGCGTAGAGAAGAGGTTGATTTGCCACCGCCGAAGCCTGCTCCAGTGGACGCCGGTGGTTGGGAGCTTCGCGATGAGGAGTCCGTTCAACGTGGGTAGGGTATGGAGTTTGTAGAAAAAAATAGATTTTTTATATTTTTAATCTTTTAATGAATGTAATAATGAGGTGGAAAATATAAAAGTTTATTTTTTTTTATTTTTAATAATTTTTTGGTTGTCACGTCACTAAGTTAACGGTCAACTTTGAGAGTTGACTGCCACATCAGCCAAAATTAACGGAGTTGGACGGAGAGTGACCAAACATGAACGGTTTCGATAAACTAAAGTACCACCAATGAATTTAAATATTTCGAGTGACCAACCATCAATTAACCCGAAAAAAATTCATACAATTGCACAATCAAGCAGCGTAAAGTTACGGTTGGTTGAAGTTTTAACATAAATAATTAGAAGTAGTTCGTGGATGTGTCTAGTGATCCACCTAAGGTTTGGCATAAATCGCTTGGAGCAGCTGCGAACCAGTCTGAATCACTACCGTGTCCGGCAAACTGCACACTAATTTACTGCGGTGTTCAGCGAACTGCTACAAATTTGGATAATAAAAAAAGGTATTATAGGAATTTTTTCTTGTAATTAGATAGTTTTCGGATTTTTGCCGCACAACAGCCAACAACTTATTGTTGACCCAACCTACTGAATCATAATCTCTTGTGGCTTCATTTTTTTAACTTCTTCTTTCCCCCTAAATTGTTGGGCTTTCTGGCCACTGCTTTCGCCATTTTTTCTAACCCTCCCTGGTAGGTAAAGCAATAGAGGTTGTGCTAATGCTAATTGCAATTTGCTATAGCAGCTGCTTACTCAGCCTGACTTGACATCTCTTGTTTTGATGCTCCCCCTGGAATCTTCCTCCAGCTAGGCCCCTACTAATTCCAACCCCATAAACTAGGAATATACATAGGTAGATTCATGCGATTTTAACCCAATTAAATTAAATAAGAAAAAAACTCATAAAATTAAAATTCGGGTCATTTGGATGAGTTATTGTGTAACAAGTTATTATAAATATGAAACAACTCAAAAAATGATTTTGACATGGTATTTGTGAGTTATTTCAAAATAATCGTCCCCCATGTGGTATTCTCAATAACTCAATTGTTAGTTATTTCAGACAGTACAAATAACTCATCACAATCTTTTGCACACAAACGGGTTATTTGGGACCAAATAACTCATAACAATAATCCATCCAAACCAATATGTAGTGAAATATGCAAATGAATATAAAAATAATTTGAATTATCAGTATTTTTCAAATGTTTGTATTTAAAGTACACATATTTAAATGCATTCCAATATTGGTTGTATGAAACCAACGGGTCGTTTGATGTCAATTGGAACTTGTAGAGTCAAATAACTCATTTATTGTTCATGTGGTATTTCAGTTTTATTTCAATGGTTGTTAGATTAAAGTATCTAGTTTTAATATAAAAAAAAGATTAAAGTATCTTGTTGGTAGAACCATGCACATGTGGTATGTGGCATATCGTATTTGGCAAAACAAAGGGGTAAAACAAGTTATTTCGAAATAACAATTATCGTACTTTTCAAATGTTTGTATATGCGTTTGGTATATCATATATGCGTATCTAAACAATACATTTAATGAATGCATGTATTGTATAGAATGCATCATTTTTTGTGTCAAAATGAAAAACAATGCATGCATTTCATTGATGATGTGACACTTGAAATCATTCAATATGAATGATTTACAATTTCAACAATTTGGTGAGACTGTTGAGATTGTGTTTTGAGATTGTTCTTCCATTTTTCTTTCCCTTTATATCCCTATTAACTTTTATGCATTATTACTCTTCTATGTAAAAGAAAGGGTAAACATGACATTTCAGTCAAAAAGTAACTTCCTCATTTTATTCCTAAAATTACAATCACAACAAACTATGTAATATTATAATACATGCATTAATGCATCAATTTACAATACAAGTATTCATACAATACATCAATTCTAACAATCGCAAATACCAAACGACCTAAAGTACACATATTTAAATGCATTCCAATATTGTTTGTATGAAATGAAGGGTCGATTAAATGGATTAATTGTTAATTTGGTATTTGTAGAGTCAAATATCTCATTAATTTGTATGTGATATTTCAGTGATAATTGGATTAAAGTATCATGTTTGATAAAACCATGCACATGTGATATTTGGCATATGGTATTTGGCAAAAGAGAGGGGTAAACCAAGTTATTTCAAAATAACACGGGGTAAAAACTTATTTATAAATAACTCAGTGCTCAAATAGCTCGTTTCAGTAAAATATTGTCAAACCAATTATTTTTATTCAAATAACTAATTATGAGTTATTTGAACTTATAATTCACAAATAACTCACACAAATATTATGTGGAATAAATTTAACCGAGCCTTTTTCTATCAATGAATGGAAGGCAATTCTTTGTTAACCTAATTATTCTTTTGCGTCGAAAAGAAATAAAAACAACAATAAGTACATGCACCAGCTTAAGCCTACACTGTGGGTGGTGCATAGCCTTTGAAAACAAGGTTGCACTGAAGAAAGGTAAGCATTGGGAATGCTGGCCCACGCCCTACAGGCTACAGGGACCGTCAGAGTTCTTTTTCTTTTTTTTTTTAGAAAAGTTCCTTGTTATTTGCTAGCTAGTTCTTTTTTCTAAATTACAAATGTTTGATTAAATGAGACTGTGAAATCGGTTATACCAGCTTAACAAGGGATATAGTAAGAAAGGGAAGAATGGATGGTTATATGTGAAGATAAGTGTGCATTATTATTGTTATATTAGTATTATTGGTAGGATGTTTAGTAGTTTTCGTTAGGGCTGCAAATGAGTTGAGCTGAGTCGAGTTTTACCCCAGTTTGAGCTTGACTCGTTAATAAATGAGTTGAGCTCGAGCTCGAGCCATTTATTAACGAGCCGAGTCGAGACATCTTATGAGCTCCAAATGAGCCAATTCACGAGTTGAGCTCAACAAGCCACCGAGTCGAGCTACCTCGCGAGCTTCGCGAGCTGAACAAAGCTAAGCTCAAGCTTGGCTCGTCAGTAAACGAGTCGAGTTTCGAACGAGTTTTTCCCGATCCGAGTCTCAAATCGCTCGCAATTAGCTCGGCTCATTTGCATCCCTAGTTTTCGTGTAACAGTAGGATGAAGTGGTGGCTTGTCGGTCAAGTTAGCATCGACTATTGGTTAGGCTTTATGTTATAATTTGTACTCGACCCAATAAGTGACCTTATTTCTCTCAATGTACTCGACCCAATAAGAAGTGGGGGAGCCAAAAGATCGAAACGGGTAATGTCCTTTTATATAAAATAAATATATGAGTTGATATTTTAAAAATGGGTAACTTGCAAGTTTAGTCACTAAGATTACAAAAAATTTAACGTTTTGTCACTTAAAATATTTTATTAACTTGCAAGTTTAGTCACCAAGATTACGAAAAATTTGACGTTTGGTCACTAAAAATATTTTATTTCATTCGTTGTCACTAGGATTAGTTAAATATTTCAAATTTGGTAGTCTCCATTTGCTTCGGTTAAC